TAAAATGAAACATAACACCATTGTTAGTTACACAAAACTTAGGCTAAAATAAAACATAACATCATTGTTAGTTACACAAAACTTAGGCTAAAATGTAACATAACCTTGATGTACTTCACAATGATCGCACCGGGAATTGGTTTGTTTGTTTGTTTGTTTTTGGAATTTTGCGCAAAGCAACACGAGGGCTATCTGCGCTAGCCCTCTCTAATTTACCAGTGTAAGTCTAGAGGGAAAGCAGCTATTCCTCACCACCCACCGCCAACTCTTGGGCTACTCTTTTACCAACGACTCTGATTGCGAGTCGAGCGCCCTAACCACCTGGTCATGCCGGACTCCGGGAATCGAAATGTCATACAAATAAGGAAAAAATTTAAGGAAAAATCTATTGGAAAACTCAAAACATAAACATTATAAACTTATAATATTATTCAAAACAAACAATGTATAGTGTTCTTTCTGAATCACTTCGAGCTAATTGGGTTACTTGACTGATATGTATATAGAAATAATATTGTTAACATTTTCCACCAAATGAACATTTTGTTTTGTATTTTCACATCAGATGCATGAAACATTTTTAATTTATACAACAATATGACTACAGATGATATAGTTTCAAACTCCATATTATCAATCAAATTAACGTACGTGGCCTACGTGTGTATCCCCCCCTTGATTATTGTATGTAACAAATCTGTGATGTGTTAGAAATATAACCTGATGATTAATTTTCAATTATTTATTAAAACTTCTGGAACAAAACGTAATATATGTGACCTAATGCTAAAACTGGCTACATAATTTTTCCATGGTTGTATTTAGTATTATCATTCTGAACAGCATTACAGATGAAAGGTAAACAGTCAGCAGCAACCGCCGTCTAACGCCTACTCCTAATGACATATTTGAGTATATTGTCACGGTTGTAATTTCCTCGTCTCCGAAAGTTCGGAGAATGTTCAACAACATATCACAATTCGAACCATGGAACTTCCAATCCGCAGCCCAGCACGCTAGTCACGTCTTTACTTCCTAAGTTGGTAATCAAAAGGCTAGAAAAGCACCGTTGCACTGTTGGTGAACGTAGTTTGTCATATACATGTCATATAATTCGTAATATTTTTCAAGGGCGATACTGTTTCTTTAACATTAGAATCAAGCAAACATTTATCTTCGCAGGGGGCGCCATCTACAACTTATCCTACTCTTGCTATTCTAATGATTACTTATTTAAGAAACGGGCGGTTATAATGGTGTCTATAAATTATTTTATATTATTAAAAACATTCATGAGGTTAGTACGTTTTAGTTTTGGAAACAGTCGTGTGTTATTTAGAATGAAACTATGGCATTTAATGTTTCTACTGTACTTCACAGCATGAATAACATAAATCCGAATTAACTGATCTTGTATACTACACAAGTATCTATACTATAATTCTGCTTGTTTGTATGTACGACCGTTACGCTTTCTGACCGAGCACCTGCTGCATAAGCATGCGTAGTTGAAATGTTTCCCCAAGAAAAACCACGCATGCGCTTTATTC